ATATATGTGTGTGTGTGTGTGTATGTGTGTGTGTGTGTTTGTAGGGGTTTGGGTGGGTGTCTGTTTGTGGGGGTGGGTAGGTGTATGTGTAACACCCCAATTTTCAAATATCGATTACATGAAAAATAATCGTTCCAACATCTCCCAAGATCAATTCTGAACCTACTTATAGACTAAACTACAGCGGAAGCAAAATAAAATAAAATCAAGTTTTCAACCGAAGAGCTTCTGGTGTTACGTTTTCGCAGAACTCCTTTGTTGTCTTGTTGATCAATCGTTCTCCCTAGCCTTTTTACTGTCACTTGTTAAATAGTTTCATGGGTTGCGCACATTTAAAGTTTCTAAAAGGGTAGGCATAGTGAGTTCGTGTTACACATACATGTCCATCACTTAAAAAAAACAAATATTTTTATCATATACGTTCAATAAATCATGTAACAAAATATATCACTCGATGACATAATTTAGCAGGAACGATTAATTATCCAGAGAAAAGAACCAAATGTTCATTTCTCTTCTCCTCGAGACAACTCTACATCCATTGTACTCAAGTATTTTAAATATCCAAGGAAATGAGTATGATTCTCAATTCTCATCCCCGCCGATCACACACATCCGTCATGCTCACTACAATTAAATACCCCAGCCGTTCCCGCTAAACATGTCACCCAAAAACGCACAGTAGATAAACAACTCAAAATAACATTTGCACATAACCATACTTATCATAAACATACTGTCAATAAATATATAAAAACCGCATAATAAACGCATGATAAACATTTATGTGCGAGCAACCACAGAAAACGAAAAAAAAAATTCACCTCGTTGGCGTTAGGTCTTAACCGGATGTCGTCACGCTACCCGCATACATGCAGTACCCTACGTTTAACCAACATTTATTTTCTAAGGCTATAATCCTATAAACATCTTATGTTTTTGTTTTGGTTCCAATATTCATATGTCTCGTTCGACCGAATAATAACAATCACCCGTTTACATTAATTAAAACGTTCATAGTAATTTTAGTACAAGTACTATACTTTGTTATATTAGCATTCTCAAATAAATAAAATTTCACTCTTAAAATAATACTCAAAACAGTTGGGACGTTAGATACAAAATATTGATTTTAACTATAACAATAATAACTGGCATTTTAGTAAAACTTGCATGGACCTTTTTGTTTTGAAATTCTTATTTCCATGAACATGTTTAAATGAAAATTGAATCGTCAAAATATCAACAGTTTATGGACCGTTTACATAACTTTAGTTTTCAAAGAAATAGTTATGTAGGGACTGAAATTGACATTGATGATTTATATATGATTAATACAAAATCGACATATTATCAAACTCAGGGGATGGGAAAAGTAAATTATAATTTGTTAAAAAAAAGTTGCGGCCAACATCAAAAGAAATTCGCATGCCCTATATTTGGTACATTTTATTATTTTATTTTTGTTTTTAACTTATTTTTCGGTAACCCACCAAAAAAGAAAGATACCCAAATACTTATCGTCCTAACCCGAGTCTCTGTTATTTTCCATAAAAACTGTAGCTTCATTTTCATCTAAAACTCACTCAAATAAATATCTGAAATATTCATTAATCATCTTCTCTTTGTTATGAAATATATCCATTACCAATTATCAAAACTGAATTCATAACGAGATGAATTTCAAGTCTTTATACCAAAAATTATACATTCTATTTTTTTTGTCAAATTAACGACTATCGGCCAAAACAGACACATGAAGTGGAATCAAAACATGCAACGCTTTTATATAAACCTACTCAAACAACTTAATCAAGCTCAAATCGAAGAGACATACCTTAATTTATAAAATAGCTCTGAAAACCTTCACGAACTTCAAACCCCGATTTCTATTTTGTTTTCCCAACCTTTCTTGCACTTTTTTCCACTCTATTTCTCGTGCCTTTTTTGTAACCTTTCTAGTTAACCCAAAAGTCCAAATTTATGAATCTAATCAAAGTGATGGGTTTTGGAATTAAAGTTTCATAATTTCTCTATTTACTCATAATTAATTCCTTAATCATAATTATAATAAGACATTTAGACCATATTTATATATTTATTTAATTTGAGTTATCACAAACTTCTCCCCTTCGAAAAATTTCGTGGTCGGAATTTGAACTAAACAACATATTAAGGGTATTTGGTCTTCTTATCTCATACGTTTTCCCATGTCGCATGTGACCCTTTATGTTACTTTCACTGAGCTTTCATGAGTTGTATCTCCACATTCCTTAACTTCTTGACCAGCTAATCCATTTCTCGTTGTAATCTCTTCCAAAATGATGACATGAAACTTAGGTTCTGATCATAAATAGACAAGCGAACGATCTCATTAATAACTTTTCCCACAAGTACATTTCACCCAATGACACAATTTAAGGGAACGTTTTAGATATCCAGAGAAAGAACTAATGGTCCACTTCCCTTCCCACTTGGCACAACATATCCATTATGCTCAAGCATTTAAATATCCAAGGAAATGAGTAACATCTCAAATCCTATCCCCGTTGGTCACAACACACCCGTTATGCTCCCGACTATCATACACCCATGTCCCTACTAAATGTGTCATCATACACCAGTTAAACAAATCTAAAAACTTTCCACTTATCCTCTACCATGGATTCTTTTTTACTCTTCATCGGTCCATCGAGTAAACTGATAGTTACATCAATTCTCATCATTTTGAATCTTACTTGATTCCTTCCTTAGCTTATGACTTAGAGCATAAGAGACATTGTTATCCTTCCCTAGGTGACATAATACCTCATAGTCACAGTCTCTTAGTATTTCCACTCATCTTGTTGCCTCATGTTCTATCATATTTGATCAAACATGAAATTGACACTCTTGTAGTCAGTAAAGATCTTACACCTTCTTTGATTCTTGGTAATCTATGCATATTTACATCGTCCCATCGTTCTTCGTGACGAACAACACCGATACACCCCACAGTGATGTACTGTGTCAAATAAAACCTTACAGGTCCTGTAACTGCTAAATAAATTCTTTCATCCTTGTTGGTGCTAACCAATAGGACTCTCGAGAACTCCCTTTCAACTGGTATATATGTATTATCATGTTCCCCTATGTGGCACCTACACCTAAATAATTTCCTTCTTATAATCTATTTAACTTGGTTTTCAACAACTAATCTGTTTGTATCTTCATATCAATATCTCATAGTGATAAGGGTGCTAGTATCAATGGTGCTAAACAACTTTATATTTAAATCAAGCAATCATCAAATTCTGTTCTTATGACTAAATAATAACCATCATCAGTCTTTATTTCTAAAAGCTTTTGCACCCATATTTAGGCACTTACAAAAAGAAATGAAAAAAATGTTTGCATCCACATCCAACAACACCCATAATATAGTGGTACTAAGAAAGTACATGCCACTATATCGGGGTATCCTGAGCTTCCTGAGTTGTCATATGGAAAACTCTTCCTTTTGTTCTTGTTGTATCTTCCTTTTCATCTCCCGACCGATTCCCTTTCTTTTTCATCTTGCGTTGATTATTATTACCCTTATTCTGAGGACAGTTTGACCAATTGACCTGATGTGATCTGGGGACCCGCACCCATAACATACTTTCCCCATTTTACAATCTGAAGTTGTGTGTCCTATCTTTCCACATTTGTAG